ATCCTTTCACTGCCCGATCATTGGCTTTAACCCAATCATTGCCCCACATTTGGGGGCCTCCATCTGATTGAGAGAGAGACACCACACTGCATCCCCATCTGCTGCTGCTAACATGCACTGTACCCCTGGTGACCACCCTGCTTTGGGGGAGCCAACCTAAGACTACTGGTTCAGCACAAATTTTGCTAATGCTGTTAGTGCCTTATCCAGCCACCACCTTGCTCCATGCCCAGCCCCTGGGCTCAAAGATGCTTCACACTGTGGCCAGCCACCACATGATCCTGGCCACCTTGGCAGCCACACACACCACACCCTGGCTGCTGCCACTAACATGAACCATGCTCCTGGCCACTGTTGCACTTTGGGGGATCCATGCCTAAGACTAGCAGCTCAGCACAAATTTTGCTAAGACCACCACCCTACTGTGAGCCCTCCTGCAGTTATGTCCCCTGAGATCTAGCCTGCCTGGGTTTCATTAACACCACAGAGAGCAAGCACTGCCCACAACAGGCAGAGATTCAGTACAGAAGTCTAGACTGAAAGGAAAAGATACTCAGACACAATAGCAGGACAGAAGCAACACACATAGGAGACTCTTCTGAAGTGCCAGGTTCTGATGAACAGAGGACACTGCACTGCAGAGCACTACAGGACCTATTCTTCATAAAGCCACTACTTTTAAGAGCAAAGGATATAAATGACTTTCCTAACACATAGAAACGGAGAGGTAGACAAAATGAGATAGAAGAATTTGTCCCAAATGAAAGAACATGGCAAAATCACAGTGGGAGATCTAAGTGGAATAGAAATAATATGCCTGATAGAGAATTTAATGATTCTAAAGATACTCACTGGGCCTCAGAAAAAAGTGGAGGATATCAGTGAGACCCTCGACAAAGAGATAAAAATAACATACCAGAGATGAAGAACTCAATAAATGAAATTAAAAATACAACAGATGGATTGAATAGTAGGTTACAGGAAGCAGAGGAATGTATCAGTGACTTAGAGGATAGAATGGAAAGCAATCAAGCTGAACAGGGGAGAGACAAACAAATACGGCATAATGAGAATACACCTAGATAACTCAGTGACTCCATTAAGCATAATCACATTCACATTTTAGGAATCCTGGAAGGGGAAGAGAAAAAAAGGGGGGCTGAAAATGTACTTGAAAAAATAATAGCTGAAAACTTCCTAAATCTGGGGAGGGAGACAGACATCCTGTTTCAGGAGGCACAGAGAGCCCTTGACAAATTCAACCCAAAGAGGTCCACACCAAGACACATAGTAATTAAAATGGCAAAAAATAGTGATAAAGAATTTTAAAAGTTATAAGAGAATTAAAGATAGTTGCATATAAAGGAAACCCCATAAGGTATAAGGTGATTTTCCAGAAGGGAGTGGCATGATGTATTCAAAGTGTGGAGGGAAAAATCTGTATCCAAGAATACTCTTATCCAGTAAGGCTATCATTCAGAATAGAAGGAGAGGTAGTTTTTCAGACAATCAAAACTAAAGGATTTCATAACCACTGAACTAGCTCTAAAATAAATATTAAAGAGGTCCCTTTGAATGGAAAGGAAAGACTATAAGTAAGAATATGAAAAATAAAAAATACAAAAGCAGTAAAAATAAGTGTTTCTGTAAAAGTCAATCAAGGTATGCATAAAATAAGAGGATATAAAATATGATACCAAATATCTGAAATGTGAAGGGGAGAGGAGTAAAGAATGAGTTCAAAATTAAGCGACCATCAGTTTAATACAGACTGCTATATGCAGAAGGTGTTATACATAAATTGAATAGTAACTACAAATCAAAAAACAGTAACAGATATGCAAAAAATAGAGTAAGGTATTCAAGTATATCACTAAAGAAAACTAACAAGCCATGGAAGGGATAAAGTGAAGATCAGAGAAAAGCTACCAAAACAATTATAAATGAAGTAACAAAATGGCAATAAATACATACCTATCAAAATAATTACTTTGAATATAAGTGGACTAAACACTCCAAGAGACAGAGGGTGTCAGAGTGGATAAAAAAAAAACCCATCTACATGATGCCTACAAGGGACTCATTTCAGACCTAAAGATACCTGTAGACTGGAAAGTGAGGGGATAGAGAAAACTAACCATGCAAATGGAACATAGAAGAAACCCAGAGTAGCAATATTTGCATCAGACAAAATAGACTTTTTAAAAAAATTTAAATTCCAGTTAACACATAGAGTAATATTAGTTTCAGGTGTAGAATATAATGATTCAACAATTTTATACATCACCTGGTGCTCATCAAAATTAAGTGCAGTCCTTAACCCCACCACCTATTTAACACATCACCCTACCCACCTCCCTTCTGGTAACTATCAGTTTGTTCTCTATAGTTAAGAGTCTATCTCTTGGTTTGCTTCACTCTTTCTCTCTTTTTTTCCCTTTGCTCATTTGTTTTGTTTCTTAAATTCCACAAATAAGCAAAATCATATACTTTTCTTTCTCTGACATATTTCGCTTAGCATAATACTCTAGATCCATCCATGTCATTGCAATTGGCAAAATTAATTCTTTTTTATGACTTAGTAATATTCCATCACAAATATATGCCACACATCTTTAATCTATTCATAAATCAATGGACACTTGGGCTGCTTCTATAATTTGGCTATTGTAGATAATGCTGCTATTAACATTGGGTGCATGAATCCTTTGGAATTAGTATTTTTGTATTCTTTGGGTAAATATCTCATAATATAATTGCTGGGTTGTAGGCTAGTTCTGTTTTTAACTTTTTGAAGAACCTCCATACTGTTTTCCAGCATGGCTGCACCAGTTTGCATTCCTACCAACAGTACAAAGGGTTCCCCTTTCTCCACATCCTTGCAAACCAAGAAACAGACTCTTAACTATATGGAAGAAACCGGTGTTTACCAGAGGGGAGGTGGGTGGGGAGATGAGTTAAATAGGTGATGGGGATTAAGGAGTGCACTTGTCATGATGAGTACTGGCTGATGTATGGAATCTGAAACTAATATAACACTGCATGTTAACTATACTGGAATTAAAATAAAGAAAAAAGAAAACAAAAAGGCAACCTATTCAATAGGACAAGATATTTGCAAATGATATATCTGTTAAGGGGTTAATATCCAAAATATACATAGAATTTATATAAACACCAAAAAATAAACAATCTGATTTAAAGTTGAATAGACATTTTTCCAAAGAAGATATCCAGATGGCCAATGGACACATGAAAAGTAGTTCAACATCACTAATCATCAGGGAAATGCAAATCAAGTCACAGTGACATATCACCTTACACTAGAAAGAGTGGGTAACAATCAAAAGAAGAAGAAATAACAAGTATTGGTGAGGATGTGGAGAAAAAGGAACACTTGTACACTGTTGGTGGGAATTTAAATTGGTGCAACCACTGTGAAATACAGTATGGAGTTTCCTCGAAAAATTGAAAATGAAATTCATATGATCCAATAATTCCACTACTGTTATTTACCCAAAGAAAACAAAAACACTAATGCAAAAAGATACACGCACCTCTACATTTATCACAACATTATTTACAATAGCCAAGATATGGAAGCTATTTAAGTGTCCATCAATGCATGAATGGATAAAGAAAAATGGTGTATACACACACATGCATACACAATGGGATATTCTGCGGCTGTAGAAAAGGTTGAGATTCTGTCATTTGAGACAACATAGATATACCTAGAAGGCATTTTTCTAAGTGAAATCAGTCAGACTGAGAAAGACAAATGCCATATGATTGCACTCATAAATGGAATCTAAAAATAAAAAAGACAAATATATAAACAAACAAAAAGCAAAATCAGACCTATAAATATGGAGAACAAACTGATGGTTCCCAGGGGTGGATGGTGAATGGTTGGGCAAGATGGGTGAAGGGGAAAGAAAGATACAGGTTTCCAGTTATGGAATGAATAAGTTACAGGAATAAAAGGCACAGCATAAGGAATATAGTCAATGATATTGTTAGAATGATGTATGGGGACTACACTTATTGACCTAGCATAATGTAAAAACTTGTCAAAGCACAAAGTTGTACATCTGAAACTAGTGTAACATTCTGTGAGCTATACTCAAAAATATTCAACATAAAATGAAAATAAATGAATACATATGTATAACACCTACATTTTACACACATACTATAAACTCACATATTTAGTGGGGTCAGGGTGGAGTAAAGTTTTATCCATAAACTTAAAGAACAAAACCAGAAAAAGAAAAGATTATGGTACTCAGATTTCATGAGTCTACCATTTCAAAATATCACAATATCAAGAAGTTACCAGAAAAAAAAAATCAAAAGTAAATTGTCATGACAAATTTTAAAATGTAGTGATAATATGTTGGTGGCTAGGAATTAATATCATTAATATAATGCTTATAAATAAAGGAAATAAACAGAGAAATTCATCAACAGAAATATAGACAAAAAAATATAAAATAAATCGTAATGTGCAGATATGTAAAATTTTCAGCACATGAGTAATAAAAATAATATTGAAACAAATATAAACAGTTATTTGTGCCTATCCACTTTACTAATTTTTAAATATTATGATCAGTCTTGTGAAACATCACTCTTTTACTATATAGGAGGAAGAAAATAGTATATTATAAAGAGTCATTATTATTTTTGTACTCTATTATCTAATAATTTCTAGAATTAATGTTTAATGTAAGATCTTAGAGCTAAAAATATAATGTCAAACTTTTTTCTTTGAAACAATATTTACATTAATAAAATGTTATAATTTAGAATCTCTATTCTGTCACATCCATAAATTGTTATATACTCCCAAGATGATATCTTGAGGAGGTTTGATAAAATAAAAAAGTATTCCCCAAGTAATTAACTTGGTGAAATATTTTGTATATTTTGACAATAAATACAATTATTTATTTGATTGCAAATTCCTATTACTTAACTCTTATATTTGCTTGTAGGAATGCAGTCATAAAAAATGTTGTAATCCTAATGATTGTACTCTGATTGGATATGCAGAGTGTGGCAATGGACCATGCTGTGATAGAAAAACTTGTCTGGTAAGCTTTCAAAATACTAAATGATTACTTTCCATAATTTTTTGTGTTCTTATGTGTTCATTTTTATAGAGTTTTTTAAACTGCTTTTTTACACAGCTTTCAAATATGTAACTTTATATACCTGACTCACACATAGTTGATTTCCAAGTTCTGAGGATGTCCAACCTCCTTAGCTTTGCCTTTCATTGCATTGTTTTTAATCTACTTTGGCCCCATCCGTTGTTATTCAATATTAATTCCAGATTATTTGGACACTATGAATTCCTCTTGGTCATACCTGAATTTAGCTCTTCATGATCAGGCAACTTATGACAAAATTACAAATAAACCACCCAACACAAAGTTGACATACAATGTTTGAATAAACAAACAATAATAATAATAATCTCATTTTGAGAACAGCAGAAAAGGAGTCCATGTAGTATAGTCAACAACATGTAGCATGTCTAATACTGAAGTTTAACTTTGCAAGGATTCCTGGTCCCAGAAGTAGATTGAATCCTTGACTTCCCTCAGGACGTTTTCCATTCAATTTTCCTTTATAGCCACACTGGAAGGGAGACTGAGTAAGATTTGTCTTTTGGGGATCACTTCATTGTATTATCTTGCCTTTTCTGTGTCATTTTCAGGAGTCAACGACAATTATAGAAGATGATTAATTAGAGATCTTGATTGCCAGATTTCAGATTTGCCAGTTTCTCTGTCAATGAAATCTCTTCTAACATCATTCTACTTTGTTCTATGTGTGTTCTTTTTCACTCTATGTGCTAGTAACTAAAGCCAGTGGTACTTGTCTTCAAGGAGCATGAATATAGAGGCAAGCCTAGAGTTTCTGCCACTTAGCAATAAACCTTGTTGCTCTTCCCTTCACCAGAGCTCTCATCTTGGCCTTTGTCTCCAAATCAGCAGGATTGAGCAATAAGGCTTTTCTACACAGTCCCTTGCCCCTTCCCTTACACACAGGGATAATTCCTACATTTGGTAGAGCCTTTAAAAAATTAAGGTGAAAATCATGTACCATAACATTTGCCATTTTCAGGTGAACAATTTAGTGGCATTCGGTACATTCACAATGTTGTGCAACTGCCACCTCCATCTAGTTCCAAAACATGTTCCGCACTCAAACAGGAGACTCCCAGCCCTTTAGCCCTTGTTCTCCTTTCTCCCTTCCCTTCAGTCCCTGGCAACCACCAACTTGTGTTCTGTCTGGAGTAAACTATTCTGGATATTTCACGTAAGTAGAAGCATAGAATATGTGACCTTTTGTGTCTGGCTTTCTTCACTTAACATAGTGTTGGAGGTTCATCCACCTTGTAACATATGTATCAGTGCTCCTTTAAATGGCTGAAAATATTCCATTGAATGAATATACCACGATTTGTTAATCTAGTCATCCATTGATGGACATTTGGTTTTTTTCCAATCCATTTCACTGGGGCTTTTAAGTAAATTCATAATTTGACTTTAGTTAAAAATGTAATAATAATGGAAATGACAGAAATACATTGCTCTTGTTTAAGGGTTTTACATTTTTGGTTTACTACTTTAAAAAAATACTGATTTTTCTTTGTTTCACAGATAGCTGAAAGAGGACGTTTATGTAGGAAAATGACAGATCCATGTGATTTTCCAGAATTTTGCAATGGATCATCTGTATTTTGTGTACCTGATGTGAAATCTGCTGATTTAGAACCATGCAATAATAAGACTGCCTATTGCTTTAATGGAATATGCCAAGATCCGGATATACAGTGTGAAAAATTATTTGGAAAATGTAATAGTTGTATCTTTTTTTCTGGGGTTCATTTTCAAACTGTATTTTTCTAAAGTCAGTAATCTATCCAATAGCCACCATAAAAGGTACTGTTTGTGTAAATTCAAATTTGAAAATGAAATTGTGAATCGATGTGACTTTGAACCATGTAAAGAGGCAAAATAGACCTAATAAGTACAGGACAAAAAGGAAAAATAAAGAAGGTATTAATGAAATTTCAGGTGATTGGTGCAAAGAAGAATAGAATATTAGAATTGTAGATAAGAGAGCAAATGACTGCTTTCTTAATCATTTCTGCCTATGATATAATTTTCCTATTCTCAAGTGGGTAGTTTTTAGTGTTTCTCCTTTTATGGCCAGTAGATGACACTAAAAATTTATACTAGATGACACTCACTGGGCATTGCTATAGTCTAGATGTCCCTATATTATGTTTTTTAAGATGAGTAATTGTAACTTTATATTTTCAGTTGCTAAAGTTTCTACTTATCTATGTTCACAAGAAGTGAATTTTCAAGGAGATAATTTTGGAAACTGTGGAAAAACGGGTTGTAATTTTGGGTGTGTATTTAGATAACTATACTTTTTCAAATGCATGTGTGTGTGTGCAAAAATAAGTTCATACAAATGAGAGATGGACCTAGGATATACAGATGAACTTATTTGTTATACTTCATAAGATGATGTATGTTCTGAATAACTTTGATGTTATGACCTGAGTAACATTTTGAATTATTTTCATATTTTGAACTGTTATTTACTTAAGATATTGTGTCTCTAAGTGACATATGAGTTTTTTTTCTGCCTTCTATTGACAGGAGTATCCTTTGTGGAAAGATAGTTTGTCACTGGACACATTCAGAAATAGTAAAAATAACAAATTATGATGTTCAATATACTTACCTTGGAGGCCATATCTGTTTGTCAGCGTTTTTAAGAAATGAAACAGCTTCAGGTGTGGATATTACCCAAATGAACAATGGCACTATGTGTGGAGTAAATAAGGTAAATAAACATTTTACTTGATTCCATATATGTGTGTATATGAGTGTCTGTGTATGTGTTTGTGCATGAGACAGAGAGAGAGAAAAAAACGAGAGAGAGGATGAGGTCCAAGATAGCAGTCTGGAAAAACCCCGAACTCACTTCCTCCCTAGATATACTGAATCTACACTGAGATATAGAACTGTTCTTCCTGGAGAGAGAAGGAGAGAGAGAGAGAAAGAGAGAGAAAGAGTGGGGCGCCTGGGTGGATCAGATGGTTGAGCATCTGCCTTTGGCTTGGGTCATGGTCCTGGGGTCCTGGGATCAAGCCCCACGTCAGGCTCCTGGCTCAGTGGGAAGCCTGCTTCTCCCTCTGCCTCTCTCCCTGCTCATGCTCTCTCTCTCTCTGTATCTCTGTGTCTCAAGTGAATAAATAAAATCTTTAAAAAAAGAGAGAGAGAAAGAGAGAGAGAAAGGGACCTAAAGATTTTTCATTCATAATTAATGTTACAAATTTTGGTTACTATATCATGATCTTAACATTCAAACATCAGAATTTCTATTAGTCAGAGGAACGCTTCCTCCACAATCACTGTATTATTAAAAATTTTTTATTATTATGTTATGTTAATCACCATACAGTACATCATTAGTTTCGGATGTAGTGTTCCATGTTTCATTGTTTGTGCATAACACCCAGCGCTCCATGCAATACATGCCCTCTTTAATATCCATCACCAGGCTAACCCATCCTCTAACCACCCTCCCCTCTAGAACCCTCAGTTTGTTGTTCAGAGTCCATCATCTCTCATGGTTCGTCTCCCCCTCCGATTTCCCCCCCTTCATTCTTCCCCTCCTGCTATCTTCTTCTTCTTCTTCTTTTTTTATTTTTAACATATATTTTATTATTTGTTTCAGAGGTACAGATCTGTGATTCAACAGTCATACACAATTCACAGCACTCACCACAGCACATACCCTCCCCAATGTCTATCACCCAGCCACCCCATCCCTCCCACCCCCCACCACTCCAGCAACCTTCAGTTTATTTCCTGAGATTAAGAATTACTCATATCAGTGAGGTGATATGACACATGTTTTTCTCTGATTGACTTATTTCGCTCAGCATAACACTCTCCAGTTCCATCCACGTCGTTGCAAAAGGCAAGATTTCATTCCTTTTGATGGCTGCATAATATTCCATTGTATATATATATACCACTTCTTCTTTATCCATTCATCTGCCAATGGACATCTTGGCTCTTTCCACAGTTTGGCTATTGTGGACTTTGCTGCTATAAACATTGGGGTGCATGTACCCCTTCGGATCCATACATTTGTACCTTTGGGGTAAATACCCAGTAGTGCAATTGCTGGATTGTATGGTAGCTCTATTTTCAACTTTTTGAGGAACCTCCATACTGTTTTCCAGAGTGGTTGCACCAGCTTGCATTCCC